TGCAGCCTCTTCCCAGCCTAACCCTGCTCCCTCCTCTTGCAGCTGATCAAGGAGAAGTTATTGGACCTTCTTGGAAAAGAGGAAGAGGACGGGAGCCATGAGGAGAACGTGGTAAGGAGGGGAGGGCTCACACAGGGGTTTCCTCCAGGCGGGTCCTTTGAGCTCTTGGAGATTTACATCACACCTGAGATAGCTCCATTCCAATCCATATCCACCTCACATAGCATCAAATCAGCAGGATGGCTTCTGTGGCAGTGTTAGAAACAAAAAGGTTTTAATAAAAGGCAAAATAGCAAAGCTCTTAACAGAGAAAAACCGAGCCAGGGCAAGAGGTTATTGCTCCTGGTAAAACACCTTACAAAAGCCATTAGTTTCGTTATTCTCCTCTTTTTCTAGTAAATTGCTCAGGTGGGACCTTTTGGCCTCTGTCTAATTGGTTATCCTTAAGTTTGAGGTGAAGTCCCCAAGGTGTTTTTTTACCTAATTGAGGAGAGAAACTTCTGGGCTTTTTTCCTTTTTAAGGAGACAAAGGATAATTTGGTCACACTGTCAACAGGGGACACATTCCTACAAAGGGGAAATGCCCTGGGGACACTGGAGCTCTTCCCACGTGTGTCAGGTTATTAAAACCATAATTAGAGATGCCTCTGCCACAGTCAAGCTGCAAATGGGACCAGATGCAATAGTGACAATAGTCTGGGGTTTAGAAGAACTTTAGAACAACAGGAAGACACAATTACCAAACAATCATGGCATTTAACAATCACATCATTTATCGTGGTCATTAAATGATTATACAGGTGCAGTTTTGCATGATCCAGTAAAACCTAACATTGTCTCATGGTCTACCCTAACATTTTCCCAGGGCCTGCATCTTGTATTTGCAGAGTTCCCTGACGAAGGGAGGAATGATGAATCTGACTCCATGTTCTTGAAGTCTAATTTATTATTTTATTATACTATATTATATAAAAGAATAGTAAACTAAACTACTAAAGAATACAGAAAGGATACTTACAGAATGCCAAAAAGATAGCATTAATATAATATTATAATAATATATTAATATAATATTATTATATTAATGCTATAATAATGCTATTAATATAATATTATATTAATATTATATAAGGTAATGAAAACTCGTGACTTTTTCCAGAGTCCCAACACAGCTTGGCCCTGATTGGCCAAAGAATGAAAACAATTCACAGAAACCCAATGAAAAAAATCACTTCTGGGTAACAATCTCCAAACACATTCCAAATGAGCACAACACAGGAGAAGCAAATGAGATAATACTGTTTTCCTTTTTTTCTGAGGCTTCTCAGCTTCCCAGCAGAATAATCCTGGGCAAGGGGATTTTTCCAGAAAATGTGATGATGACACCTACCAGGCCCAACCTTTTTCCAGCTCCCATGAATACCCCATGATTTTAGAACCACATTATCCCTGTGCTATCAGTGGGATAACGCAATTCCTGCTTTTCCATGGCAGAGCACCTGTGATCCAGTGCCAAACCACTCGGAGAGCCTGAGCCACACTGTGACCGTGCCCCTGCAGGCCCCGCTGGGGACGCTGGAGGAAATCGCCTGCTGACCCCTCCCCACCACAGTGCCCATCCCGAGGAAGGAAAAATGCACAGGGAAAACAGGGACCCAGCTCAGGTTTGCACTGGGGGGAAAAAAAAAATTAAAAAAAGATGGAAAAAAAAATAAACTGGGAAAAAAATACTGGAGAAAAAAAATAAACTGGAAAAAAATTATTAAAAAAATCTATTAAAAATAAAAAAAAAAGAAGAAGAAAAACTCGCTATGCATTAAAAGAATATAAAAATAATATAAAAATATAAATTCTAAATATACTCTGCCCAAAGTGAGAGGCGCCTTGGACCTGACTACTGTTGTCCTTTCCTCCTGGGGGTTTGGCTCCAGCCTGGGAAGCAGCTCCCAGGCTGGGAGAGCTGGGAATGTTCACTTGGAAAAGGGAAGCTCAGAGAAGAGAAACCTCAGAGCCCCTTCCAGTGCCTAAAGGGGCTCCAGGAGAGCTGGAGAGGGACTTGGCACACGGGATGGAGGGCCAGGACACTTTTTGGGATTGTCCAAGCCTGAGCAGCAGAAGCAGCAGCAGCAGCAGTAAATCCCAAAGGAAACATCCCAAATATCCCGAGCACTGCATGCCAGGGCTTCTCCTGGCCCTGGGATTCCTCAGCTGCCTCTCTCAGCTCTGTTCCTCTTTGCAGTCCCTGGGTTTCAGTGGCAGAAGGAGCATCCCAGAATTCTCCATTCCCAGCGCTGTAGGCTGAGAGTTTTACAATAAAGAGATCCCAAAGTCGGCGCTCTCGGATTCTTCCCCCGGCCGCGTCCTCCACGTGAGCTTGGGCTGAATCCCGAGCTCAGCCCAAGGTGAGCATCCCTGGAGAGGAGCCGCAGGGATCCCTATGGATCATCCCAGCCCTGCTGTGCCTGCAGAGGCCAGGAGCAGCAAGTGAGGTTGGGTTCATTCATTTCTTTAATTTTTTGGGGGGAATTTTTGCAATTTCCTTCTTCTCCCGTTCATGGATTCTGTGCTTTCTCCTCGTTCTCCTGACTGATATTAAAGCTGGTCTTGTGGAAATGGCCAGGCTGTGTTATTCCTGCCTTGCCCTCATTGCCAGTGGGAGGGCAGATCCCAGGAAAAGCCTCTTCCTCATCCCTTACTCCTCCTTTTCCTCTCCCACCATGTCCTCACACAGCTCAGGATGGGAGTGGTGCCATGGCCCTGCCCAGCTGCATCCCTGTCTCCCCTGGGATGCAGATCTCCAGGATGTGCTGGGATCTCTGGGATGTTGTGGGGTCTCTTTGCTGACAGAGGTGATGGAAACCTCTCCTTGATGTTTTGGGATTGTTCAGCCTGGAGAGCAGAAGCTTTGGGGTGACCTCACTGAGGCATTCCAGTGCCTGAAGGGAGCCTGGAAAAAACATGGACAGGGACTGGGGACAAGGGACAGAGGGACAGGACACAGGGAATGGCTCCCACTGCCAGAGGGCAGGGCTGGATGGGATATTGGGAATTAGGAATTGTTCCCTGTGAGGTTGGGCAGGCCCTGGCACAGGGTGCCCAGAGCAGCTGGGGCTGCCCCTGGATCCCTGGCAGTGTCCAAGGCCAGGTTGGACACTGGGACACCCTGGGACAGTGGGAGGTGTCCCTGCCATGGCAGGGATGGAAATTCAGTTATCTTTAGGCTGCTTCCACCCAAACTGGTCCAGGATATTGGGATTCCAACTTTTCCTTTACTGATCCACTTTAACTGGCCCTGAAGCATAACAAGAAAATCATTTCCATCCAAGTGCATCCCAAAATGGGTCAGCAGTGGCTCCACCCCTGGATCCAGGCACTGAGGGGCTGCTCTGCTGCATCTCCAGCACTGGGAGAGACATGGGGATTTTAGGAAACACCCTCAGGGAGAGATGAGGGTGTCTGAGGGGCCTGGAAAAGGGCCCTGAGCCCTGATGGAGAGGGATGCGGGAAGATTTCATTTTTGATTCCAAACTTCTTCAGGATTAAGGGTTCCTTTTCCAGAAAAAAAAAGACTATAAAGATCAGGGAAAACTGTGAGGATTATTTGGAGATTCAGGAAAAGAAACAAGCAAAGTTCAAACTCCCAGCACAGCCCCAGCTCTGCTGAGTGCCCCAGGATTTTCCAGGGAAAAGGGAAGCTCCATTATTGGCAGTAATTAACCCCAAGCTGGCTTGGAGCACATTCCAAGGAAAAGGGAAGGGAGTGGAAAAGACACAGGTAGGTCCATCCCACCCCTGTTTGGTGCTGGATGGATCTGCCCAGGGATGGAGCAGGGATGGGAGCAGGGATGGGAGCAGAGATTGGAGCCAACCATCAGCTCCCAAAAACCCCAAAATCCTGATGGAAAAAATTAATAAAGAATCCCCCGTGGGAGATGAAAACCCTGTGGACAAGGTGGGAAAATCCAGAGTGGGATTGACCAGGGGGTTTGGCTGAGCTGCAGCTCAGGAAATTCAGCTTCAACCACAAATCCATCCAACAAAGCTGGAATTGCCATCCCAAGGGATAATCTCCCTTGGAGCTCCATAGGGATGGAGCACTGGGTCATCCCTGCTGGGCAGCAGGGCCCCAGGGCTGGACAATGAGGAAAATCCCATGGGAATGCTTCAGGAGGAAAAGCAGGAGCAGAAGCAACTCTGAGAGAGATTTCTGAAGTGCAGCTGCATTTTTGGGGAATGGGAGAGCTCAGCTTGGCGTGGAGAGGGCTGGAGCCCAGGCCAGAGCACATTCCTGGGATTTGTGGCCCAGCCACCACATCCCTGACCAGCTCCCACAGCTGTGTTCCCACAAGGAGCAGGAAAACACCCAGGAAATGCTCTTGGAATCTCTTCCACTTGCTCAAGGTCACCCAAGCGCCTCTCCCTATTCCTCCTTCATTCCCAGCATTCAGAGGCTCCTCGATCCCACAGGATGCTCCAAGGACCAGCACTTCATCAATCCTGGGAATCACCAACTGTGAAGGACATTCCATGGCTCATTCTCCCTGCTCCTCCCCCGAGCCTGCAGTAAGGACAGCAATTAGAGACAATTAACAGGAATTTTTAGCAGGAAGATTGTCCTTCGTTTGTGTTAGTTTGGGTGGGAAGAGCCCAACACCAATCCCAATCCCAACCCCAAACCCAACCCCAATCCAAACCCCAAACCCAACCCCAGTCCCAAACCCAATCCCAACCTCAACCCCAACTGCAATCCCAACCCCATCTCAACCCCTTCCAAACCCCAATCCCAGCCCCAATCCAAACCCCAACCCCAATCCAAACCCCAAACTCAATCCTAATCCAAATCCAATCTCAACCCCAATCCCAATCCAACCCCCAAACCCAACCCTAATCCCAACTCCAACCGCAATCCAAACCCCAATCCCAACCCCTAACCCCAATCCCAATCCAAACCCCAATCCCAACACCAATCTCAACCCCAATCCTCTCCCCAACCCCAAACCCAATCCCAACCCCAGTCCCAATCCCAACCCTGAGCCAATCCCAACCCCAATCCTAACCCCAGTCCCAACTCCAATCCCAACCCCATCCGGATGCGAATCCTTGTGATGGTTCCTCTCCCACCCCGTGGTGGTTTCTGGAGGTTTTGTTGCCTTCTGCCCTCCAGAGCTCACTGATGATCCATGATCCCATGGAATTTCTGGCAGCCACGGTAGCTGTTCCCTTGGCTGGCTCTGAACACATCCACATTTACGTGCTTCATGTCTGACTCCAGTTTTAAGCCCTCAGAAGCTTTTCCTTCCCCTCCTCCCTGTGTTTCTCAGCATCTCCATTGTTATTCCAGGCAGGAACATCCCCCAGCCTCCTTAAGGAATCATCTCCACACTCTGCAGGGTTCCTGCTCTTCCCGAGCTCAGGAGCGGCCCCGAGCACACCCAGAGAAGAGCAAAAATCCCTTTTTTCCATCAATCTCCTGCAGGAAAATGTGACAGGAGAGGAGCAAAGTGGAGCAGGACCAGGTGGGGAGATCCCACCTTTGGCTCTTGCTGGAAATATCCCTGTGATTATTCCCAACTCCAGAGGTGCAGCTTTGTCCTGGTTTCCCACATTCCATGGAGGACATTGGTTACCCAAAGGCTCCCTGAGAGGATTTTGCTCCTTAGGGTAATTAATGGCTGGAATTCTTGAATTCCCAGCTGGGAATTTCACCATCCAACCACAAATCATTGCTGTGGGAGCAGGAGCACCATGGGCTGTTTCCATGAGCAGGATCTGCAGGAATAACCCTGGCAGGATTTGGGGCTGGCACAAGAATGTCCAGAAGAAGGGAAGCAGCCACCATGAAAACCCCAGCAACCTGATCCCAAAATAAATGTGGGATGGAGGATCTGGAGAGGAGCCCCCCCAGGGAACACCTCATGGCATTGCTGTGCTCCTCACTCCCCTCTGGACTGCCCCTGACTGGATCCCACCTCTCCCAAATCCCTGAACCCCCAGGAACAGCTCCAAGCCCTTCCAGGGCACTGGGATTTCAGGCCCAGTTGGATTTTCCCTGTTAAACTCTTGGCTGAAATTCCAGGAAGCTGCTTTAATTTGGATATCCCAGAAGTCAATTCCAACTGAAACAAATTCAGTTTGAATTCCATTTTCCATCCCCCTTCTTGCCAAGGGGCTTCCCAAGCCCCCCAGAGCCTTTTTTCCATCAGGATTCTCTAAATCAGGAATAGGAGCACTGGAATTTGTCACCTTAACCAGCTCACTCATGAATTCCCACCCAAACCCCGACCTTGGGGACACCAGCAGTGCCCAATTCCCAATTCACAGCAGTGACAGGAGTGTGGCAGCACCCTGGGCTGCCTTGGCTGGACAGAGCTGAGCCAGGGCTGCTCCTGGAGCAGGAAAATCCACAGAAAACCAAAGTCCAAGAGCAGCCCCAGGCCAGGATTGGAGGTAGAAAGCAGAAACAGTGGGAACAGGATCTGGGAGAAGGGCAGAGCCTCGGGAACACCTTCAACCACTTCCAACAGGGATTTCTCCAGCTGCAGCCATGGAAAACCATCCCCAAAGGGGCTCTGCCACCACCCAGCAGCAGCCTGAGGAGGAAGGAGCTGCTCCAGGGGCTGGGAGGAAGCATCACTGTAAATTCCCTGTTTGTGGGCTGAGAACAGGATTTGGCTGTTTAATTATGGATGAGAAAATAAGGGATAATGGATGGATTTACAAGCAGCACTTTGTCATGTAGGGCAC